TATCTATCAATCTATCTACCTATCTATCTATCCACTTATAAATCAATCTATCTATCTATCTATCTACCCAATCTATCTATCTATTTATCTATCTACCTATCTATCTATCCACTTATCAATCAATCTATCTATCTATCTACCCAATCTATCTATCTATTTATCTATCTACCTATTTATCTATCCACTTATCAATCAATCTATCTATCTATCTACCCAATCTATCTATCTATTTATCTATCTACCTATTTATCTATCCACTTATCAATCAATCTATCTATCTATCTACCCAATCTATCTATCTATCTATCTATCTATCAATCTATCTATCTATCTATCTACTCACTCTATCTATCTATTAACGAATTCTTTTGGAGGATTAAGAAGAAACAATTTGCTTTCTAATTAATATTATTTTTCTAAAATTATTTTTTTCCACCGAGGCCCTAATCCCCCTGCTCCTTCGCCGCCATCTCCTTCAAGGTCCTCCTCAACAGCTTGCCCGTCGGGTTCTTCGGCAGCTCCTCCACGAACCTCACGCCCCCGGAGAGGTGCTTGTGCGGCGCGACCCTCTCCGACAGGAACTTCGTCAGCTCCTCCGCCAGTTTGTCCTCTTCCTCTCTCTCTTTCTCTCTCTCCTTCTCCTCGGCTCCTGGTGGGGTTGTCTTCCTCCTGACGATGTACGCCCTCGGGACCTCACCCGCCCGCGGGTCGGACACGCCCACGACGCCGACGTCTGCGACACTCGGGTGCCCTCGGAGTTCGTCCTCTAGCTCGGTGGGGGATACCTGGAGGGGGAGGAGGGGGGAGGGAGGTGAGGAGGGGGAGAAGGAGTGGGGGAGAGGGGGGGGAAGGGTGAGGGAGAAGGGGAGGGGGAGGAAGAGTGAGAATGAGGGAGGAGAGGTTCGAAGAGAAAGCGTTGGAAGAGAGAGAGAAAGAGAGAGAGAGAGAAGTCGAATTGGAGGACAGGATGGAGGAAGAGGAAGAAGATTAGAAGGAGGAGGAAGATGAAGGAGGAGGAGGAGGAGGAGGAGGAGAAGGAAGAAGAAGAAGAAGAGGAGGACAAGGAGGAGGAGGAGGAAGAGGAGGAGGGCGAGGGAGAGGAGAAAGCGGGAAAAGGAGGGAGAAGACAAGGAAGAAAATGGAAAGAGGTGACACAAGGATAAAAGACGAAGGGGAACAGAAAGAGGAGGAAGAATAAGAGGAAGAGGGAGAGAAAGTGAATAAAAGCGGAAAACAGAACGAAAAAGAGGAGAGAAAGGGGACGGAGAACAAAAAATTGAAAGAAAGAAAGAAAGAGAAACAAAGGAGGGGAGAAGCAAAGAAAAGGAGAAAGGGGGAGGAAAATAAACAAAGGAGAGAAGGAAAGAAAAGAGAAAAAGGAAGAGGAGAAAAGGAAAGAAAAAGAGAAGAGAGGAGAAAGAGAAACAAGGAAGAGGAAAGAAAAGACAAATAAAGGAGGGGAGAAGGAAAAGAAAAAGAGTAAAAGGGGGAGGAGAGAGGAAAGAGGAAAGAAGAGAAGGGGGAGGGGGAGGGGGAGGAAGATAGGGAGGGGGAGGGGGGAGGGAAAGAAGAGGGGGAGGGAGAGTGAGGGAAAGGGGAGGAGAGGGGAAGGGGGAGGGGGAGGGAAAGAGGAGGCGTAAAGGTTGGGGGGGGGGGGTGAGGTGATTACAGTGACATTTTCCGAAGAAATTGGGAGTAATTTTAATGTTAGTCATTTTTCCGTCTTTTCTCCACATCCTGTTGGTTCGCCAATTAATGTCTTCCCTCGCTTTCTCTTCGCTGTTTGCTTATCTTATTTTCTTTTGTTTTGGTTTGTTTTTCTGGCGATTTTCTTTCTTTCTTTCCTTCTTTTTCTCTCTTTTTATTTGGAGATTAAGTTTATTTTGACTTTTATTTTTTCTCCTTCTTTCTCCTTCGTCCCTTTTTCTTCTTCTCTTTTTCGCTTCCTTAAGATATCTTTCATTCTCTTTTCTTCTTCTTCTTCTTTTTAATCTTACTCTTTTCTTAGCCTTTCCGTATGTTTTCTTCCTTTAAGTATCCTCTCTCCCTTCCTTTCTACCTCCTTCCCCCTCCCTCTTCCTTCCCCTCCTCTCTCCCTCCTCCCCCTCCTCCCCCACCTTCCCAACACCTCATCTCCGCCCACAACCGCCCCCTCCCCCCTCCTCCTCCTTCTACCCCCCCCCTACTCCTCCTCACTCTCCCCCCTCCCTCACCCCCCCCCACCTTCCCTACACCGCATCTCCGCCCACAACCTCCCCCTCTCTCCCCCTCCCTCCCCCACCACTCTTACAACTATCTTCCTCCTTCCCCCCTTCCTCCCCCCCCCTCTCCGCCTCGCTCCTTCCAACCTTTCCTTCTTCCTCTCCTACCCCCCCTCACCCCCTCACCCCCCCCCCCCACGACCTCCCATTCATTCAGCCCAAATTCCCTCTCGTTTCCACACTTCCTCCTCCTTCTTTTCCTCCTTCTCCTTCCCCACCTCCTCCTCCTTCCTTCCCAC